CACTTAGCAACCCAGCCACACACTTTTTACATTCTTTAACCTGATAATCTCTAATTATTCTGGCTCAGAATTCCATTGAAATGGGGTGCAGATTCATTTTACAGATGTCATTCTTTATTTTAATATTGTCTAATTTAAAAGGAAAATATTTCAGATAACAACAACATTTTTTGAGGAAAAAAAGCATGAAAACCATTTCTGTTCCAAAAATTGCTGATATGAGAACTTATGGGAAACAGCTTCTTTTATGAATAATTATTATTATTGTGTTTAAGAAATGGGCAAGATGCCTAGAAATTGAATGAAAGAATGAGCTATTAAATTGAAATATTAAATGAAATAACTGAATTAAAAGTGATCATGTAAACCCTGCAGTAAATGTTGGGAGCTGAAGCTGATTGAACATATTTTCATCATCTGTTTTGTATGCTTAAATACAATTGCTTGATGTAAGTAAACACTTGATTGATATTCTGAATACTTTAAAATCTGCATATGCATCACAGAATACTGAACAATTAAAACTTAATTTCAGTGTAGTTTGATTACATGTAAATTATTTCAATATTCATTTTTTTCCTGTTCTGTTTGCTCAGTGCATATTTAATATTCACTTTTTGAATGCATATCACCCTTGATTGGACTGTGAGATGAGGAGGACTCTGAAATTTCTTCCATTAAAAAGGATTGCCTTATAAATATTATTTGTGCCACAGCTCTTCCCCTACAGATTATTTTCTAAATGTTGTGTACCCTTATTGAAGACAAGGAAAAAACTGCTGCAGCCCTCCTTTATCAGCCCGGCACAAGGAATATGCTTACATGGTCGATGGGCATGTCTAAGAAGGCTTGTGGGTTGTAACTAGTCCCTAAAGAAATGTTTCCATCTTTTCTGCACTACATTTCTCTCTTGCTTGCATGAACTCTCTCTCTCTTCCCTTCCTCCTCCCTCCACGTGATTTTTTTTTTCTGGTTCCTGGAGTTTTTGTGAGATGTTTTAATATTATGGATAAATATTACAAATATTTTAAAGTTGATCATTTTCAGCCTAAAAATGTATCTCTATCTTTAAGTGACCACATTCAATTTAGGTGTTGTGGAATACAGATGACAAAATTCTGCCTTTTGATATATTTGTAGAACCTCTCATAAAAACCGAAGAGACTTCTATTCCCTTCTCCCTGGGCCCCAATCCATGCACAAGGTTTTGATCTACAGTATTTAAAATCACCTTATTTCTGAACATCCAGCAGGAGGAAACCCTGAGCATTTGATTAATTTTTTATTTATGCTGGTGAAAACCAACAATAGCCTCTCTGAAGTGGATAAATTTTTTTTTTAATTTCTTCTATATTTTTTATTTAAAAATAAAATGCTTTCCTGGCATCTTTTCAGTTAAGTCACATTCCCAGAATAGAAGCAGGCAGTAGGTCTGCCACTCCACCATGGAAGGCCGGTCTGGATTCTTCTCTGCCTCGACCATTTTTGACCCACATGACCCTTGTCATATCACTCACATTTCCCCTTCATTTCCTTGTCAGACGTACTAGTAGCCATTGTTTTAAATTTTTGTAAGATACGTAGAAAGGTTGCGTGAGTGCATATAATAAGAGTATTATTTTATTATATGAGAATTTGAACTTAATAGTGTATGTGCTAAACAGCTTGCAGGGAAATGTTTTCCTATCTGTCCTATATAGTTAATCACAGTTTGAGAGTTTTAATCTTGAAGGTCATATTTCTGTTGGCTGTCACTTTGACCAAACAAGTGGCTGAACTTCATGGTTTACAGGCAGATTTCCTTATCTCTCTTTTTCAAGAGACATATAAGTCTTGATTGCTGGACTTATTGTGAAGCAAGCAATAAGTAACGAGGTGGAGGGAGGGACGGGAAGACACTCACTTCAGGACCAGTACCCTGTAGATGCCATTTTAGAAAGCTACCTTGTAATTGTAGCACAAGAACAACAGGGGGGGTGTTTCGCATGGGGGGTTTTTGTTTGTCTGTTTGAGACGCTGATAAACTGTAAGTGAAGTGTGCTAGCAATGGCAAGAGGTCTTCCCATGACAAAATATGCTTATAAAATAGCATATAATAATAGTATTATTAGCTAGAGGTCGGTCTTGTGCTACACAGGACTCTCTCTAATTGTTCCTATAGAACAAAACCAACACGACTTCCATGCCAAAGAGACTCAAAATAATGAGTATGTTCTAGTAAAGCTAGTTTAAAGAAACCTGGACATTCTTGACTGATTTAATACTGTTTGCCTAAGTAATGCAAACTTGTCACTCTTGTTTGAAACCTCCAAGTTATTTTAAAGCAACTCCATTTATAATAATTTATGAAGTACCTGCGATTGTTATTTCCAGATCCTTTGTTTTGTGAAGAGCATTTCTTGGATAGTCTTTTTTTCCCCTCAGTACAGATCTGAAAATAATGAGCTAACTTCACAGTTTTATGAATAGGGGCCATAATAAGACTGAAGTTTGTATGTTGATTAAAGGAAAAAAATTCAACTCTTTGTGAAACAGCAAATAAATGACAGCTTTAAGGCCATGATTCTGTTCTGCAGGTCAATCAAATGAAGAAGTTATTTTACATTTTTTGGTTGCAGGTATTTTTGTCTTGGCTAAAGCAAATCTCATTCAAATAGTCTGTATAGTTATAACTTTGGAAAAACAAAATAATGATGCAGACATTCTTTTTAGCCAGTCATATAGCCAGTTTCTATTCAGTTTCCAATTTCCCCTTTAAGTACTAAGAATGTATATTTAATCCATAACTGAAAAGAAAAATTTGCTGGAAAACGATATACATGATAGCTATTCAAGATACACATATTTTAACATGTACTTATTTGTCTTAATTAAAGCATAACTTCAGAAGCAGTATTACAACACAATGTATTTTAATGGAAAATCCTTCATAGAAAGCATGTTGAAAAGCTTCAGATACATAGATGTGCATGATAAAACAGTGGTGCGCTGCCTGTTCCCCAGTGATCAAGAGGTTAACCTTAATTCATCTCTTCCCCTCCCTTAAACAGGTTCTGTGAGGAGGGCTGCAAATTAGTGCTTGGAAGACACAGCAGGGAGATTAGCTTTAGGGAGGAAAGGGCTCCCCGCTCCAGCTCTTAGGAACCTCACCTGAAGAGTGCACTCCCTTTAAGCTAATGTATTATGCCTTCTTGTCACGAATCCTATTCCTTGGGGAAAAGTTCCTCGCTGGCTCTATCTTGCAATCTGCTGAATCATTCCAAGAGAAGAGAGCAATAAGAGTGTAGCAAGAGGGAGGCAGAAAACTGCTTAGGCTTTGGCCAGAAATGGGAATCCCAATATGGTGCATCATATGGAACTCCTTCACCCACCAAGGGGAAGGATTCCCATGTTTCCCCTGTGCTCACACTGGCCTGAAGAGCTGTGGCATTGCCCACTGTTTCCTAAGATACCCTCAAGGTACAGAACTGTATAAATATTGGCATCCATATGATGCTGTCTGATGATATTCACTGGGCAAGCACAAACTACACCTTTCTAACACTAAGAAATCACAGTGCTGCTTTTTCCCCATGGGGGCAAAGAAGTCATCTCCTTCCCATACTTCAAGCACCTACAACTATCTATTGCTAAAATTGTTAACAGGTGAAAAGGGGGAAACTTTACCAGTAATGGGAAAAATACAGAAATCGTTCTAGGTGGAATCAATGTTTTGCTTCACAACTGAAATAAAATCAGGGTATTCTGTTGTTTTGCATATGTGAAAATAATCACCAAATCTAATTCTGTAGGTATTTTTAAATAGTTTAAAACATGCAGTGGAAGCAAATGTGTACAAATAGAATCACTTTCTCACAGTACAGAGTGGTTGTCCCATAGTGGTTACATCGTGTCACATCTAATAGAGGGTAAGCATTAGCCCAATGCAGAATTTCCCCTTGTCATTAGCGTTTGCCAGGGCAATGTTGTACACATTCTCAGAAAGCTTCTGATGTACGGCTTGTTTCCCCCCACTTCTGTGGAATTCCCGCGGATTGCAAACAAGAGGATATATACAGCATTCCAGAGTATCTCCATCCCATGTAGGTATTTGCTGTAATTATCAGGAGATGCTGTATGGTCTCTGGGTAGGAAGTAGGTGGTAGTCTATGTCATTACAAATGGAAGGAGCTGTTCTTCATCAAGCCCTCAACCCACCAAAGTAATTGGCGTGATATGCCGTGATACAGCCCTCCTGGGTTAACGGTAAAGGTGAAGTTCCACATCCACGCTGCTCCCTTCCTACTCTACTGCATCTCTAGGTGATATTCGGGTGGTGCCTTCTAAAGCACATTTAGAGGTAACTCTTGCTTGCGGATTTTGCTCTTTTTCCCCTTGTTTTACCTCATTGACACAATCTTCTTCACCACAGGATCTTCAGAAAACTCTGAGGATTCTGTGCTAATACTGGGCTGAGGGAGTTAGAAGGCAAAGCAGTGTCACCCCCTACCTTTTTCAGTCCCTGGGGATTCATGACTGTTTAGCATGACTCGACTGAATTATCATCTTCAGAGACCTGTATTGAGGGGTCTGTGAGGACAAAACCCAATGCAAAGTTCTACAAGGACTTCTGAAGTCTTGTGAGATTTGGGATTAGTTTTTTCTGTAGGGGATTTTGAGATTCCTACCAATGTTATTGGGGCTATCATGTTGTGGTTGGTATCTTTCAAAGAACCAATTTGTTATGATCGACAGTACCTTCAGCTCCTTTCAGATTCAATTAGATCTGCTGAAACTCAACACTGAACACCCACTGAAGGTTTTAAATGATGAAGAAGGTTAATGGTAGTCACCATCCTACCTCATAGTTCTGCAATCTGACTATGAGCATGTCAAGTTTCCCCAGTAAAGCTTTGGCATCACCCTTGATGAGAATTGAAGGACGTCATCTGCCCATTAACAAAATTTGATGCAGCTTTTAAATTATCCTCAGCAAGTGACGTGTTTCCTTTTTCTTGCAGGTATCAGAGATTTGAAAAAGCATTTCTGCTAGCTGTTGACATAGGTGCTCGAGACCTGTTTATGGTGAGTCATTTCTGGAGATGGAGGCTATTGTCAGGATGCTAGTTGTCAGCTTTTGTACACATTACAATGGATCTGTGTCATTTGCAGTCTTAGACACATACTGAAGACAGAACTATTCTACCTGGTTTGCCCTTTGCCATCGTGAAACTCGTCAATAGGAATTGAGTATCTTTAGAGTCATTGACATTTTCTCTAGCATGGCCTAAAGGCTATTCTTTACTTTCCAGGCATTAATGTATACGGTTTTGAACTTTCCCCTTCTTCATCTGTCCTGATGTGGGTGAATGTCATCTTTCACTCTAATAAGCTTATATGTTTCTAATCCGTTCCTTTAAGGAGTACAACTGCTGAATCCTGGACACAAGAGCTGGCCATATCCTGGGGATCCTGAATGCTCTTAGTTTGTCTCTCAGGGTTTTGTGAAAAGTGACAAATTATGAACGCTTCTACAGGTACTTTTAAAACAACAAAGCTCAGCAGCATCAACCCAAGGGTTTTTACATTTCATGCACTCTCTGCCCCCTCCCATTTAATTAGCTACAAAAGTAAAATTAACCAGCTCTTAAAAGGTCCTCTGTGTGAGCTCTGCAGGAGGCTCTTGTTTTATAAGATCTTGCACCACAATGTCACAGTGAGGTCAGATGGACAAAGCCAATCGTGCTTTCCTAGTCTCTCAGCATGTTGCTGCTCCACAGCTGATTTCATTGTTTTCAAAGAAACAATAGGAAAGGGGCTTGTTGAAAAAAAGGCCCTTTGAACGATTCGTTTGCTTGACTCTTTTGCATAATGAAGACATTCTGTTGTTTAAATTAAGCTTTGACACTAGATGTTAATATCGTTTATCCCATTAAGTCACTTGCCCTGCTAGTTTGATCTTGATATTTAAATTGTATGTTAAATTACACAATTAAATCCTGCTTTTATGGGTTATGAAAATTCCCTTCTAATTATATAAAAAGTTGTGTGAACCTTTTGATGTTTTTTTCATGGCTCTAATCATCTGGCTTGTTCCATCTAATTAGAAAGATGTGAATACTGTGATAAACTTTTCTAAGTATGCATCAAAAGAATGTGATGGAAATGTCAGACTTTTAGGAAATGCATTACATATTTTATGTTTACTCTCCTCGATTTTTCCTACTTTTAACTCAGCTTTTTTCTTTTTTTATTTAATATAACTTCTTCAATATAAATTTTATACCTAATCAAGCTAAGCACTGCAGCCATATACAAGATTCAGACTGTAACCTTGTCGGGGGCTCTCCCACAATATAGATAATAAATTCTTGCTGAGCAATTTCAGACATTCTGGCAGAACAAATGATTCAGCATCTAGCCTGCCATCTCAAGGGCCCTCCCTCATATGGCTGAGAGCATTTCCTACATGCTCTTTTTCTCCTTCCTTCCCTCCTCTGACAGCAGGACTGAGGGACCACCTCTGTCCCTAGGGTGAGGAACACCAGTCTTGGGTCAAGAGATGGGTGCAAAGCTGCTAAAAAGAGGGAGGCACTGTCAGTATCTGGCTCCACAAGTGGTGACATGGCCTCCTCTCAACAAAAAGGTTCTCCAACTTTCTTCAAGAGGAGTTTCACAGACAAATTAGCTCTATCCTTTCCTACTCTTTTTCCCTTTCCTCTCTCAACACCTACTCTGTATTTCCTACCTCACCAATGCTCTTAAACGTAAATATATATTTCCACGTAGTTCCTCCTGGCTTACATTACTGTGAGATCAAAACCAGTTCTATATTGTCCTCATTCTGCTTGCATTGCCTTGGAGATTCTTCACCATTTCCCCTAAATTATGCAGCAAGCAGCACACACACCTGCTTCTTCAAATCCTCTGTTAATGCTCTGCCTCCTCCAGGGAAATCTCCTTTTGCTAATACATCTCCCAAGTAAGGTACTAATGAACAAACTTTACAATAAGCTAACAGTGGCACTGCTGCGAGACTACTAAGTACAGGACTCAAGAAGTTTAAAGGTGCATAACTCATAAAAAGTATTTATTTGTGCCACAGTAATTTCTAGGGAATTGGGCTTCATTCCACTAAATGCTGTTCCCTGAAGGCTTATAGTCCTTCTAGGTACTAGTATAACAATACTATTGCTAAGCAAGGTTTGTGCATCCTTCACTTCTGCTTAACACTGAATAATTTCTGTATATTGTTAATATAGGTCAAAATGAAATTAGTAACACACAACTTGACTTTACCTATATTTAAAGCATTTGTAATTATGTGCAGTACAAATAACTAATCTATAGGTCAATTATTTGTACTGTTGTTTTACAGACCAACCAAATCCATTTATAAAACCTCAGATGGCTCTAGGAGTCACATCACCTTATTCCCAGTTAATTTAATGGGATTTCAAGAAGAAAGATATCTGATGACATCAGCAAAATGTGAAAGAAAAGATTATTTATTAAAGGGGAAGGAACAAAAAAGGAAAGTACAGAGAGGAGCAGATATAACAGAGGCTGAGGAGGATCCAAACATTGAATACCCATCTTCTGAGACTTCTAAGGAAATGTCCTATGTCTTGGAGAATTTATCCTAAGCATCTCTTTCACCAAACAGGGCTCTGCAGCGTTCCTGTTGTTTGTTTTGAGATTGCAAAGAAGTTTGAGAGAACACTATCTGAGGGCTAATTTCTTTCATAGAAATGAAAAAGAAAAAAAAAAAGCTTAAAAGTTAGTCCTATAGCTATAGCGTCACTAGTATGATGCCATAACAAGACACACAGACACTGCTGTGTCTCCCCATAAGCTTTGCCCTCACGTCACATCTAAGTCCATCAATTATTATCATCTCCTACAAAGTTCAATAAAAAATAAAACTGAAAAGGACATAATATCATGAACAACAGCTACATTTATTGGACAGTGACTGATCCAATCTGTGACAGAAAAGATCAAGCAACAGAAGGGTTGTTAGCCTGAAATCCTTTTGTAGTATGCTCCAGCTCTCAGCTGCTGAAAATTCAAAAGGCCATCCCGTGTACCAAAGGTAGCAAAAAATGCAAGGAAAAGACACTTTAATAAAACTGTCAGATCTTGGGTGATACACTGATGTGGAAAGTGCATGTTTCGAAGAAACGTTGGAATTTTGCCCAGAAATATCCTATAGACAAATGCACATCAGTGTTTCAAATGACTTCTGCTCACCGAGGGCCAGCTCTGTGAGTCACAAAGATGAGGGTAAAAAGGAAGTAGCCCAAAAACTAATCAAACTGTTAAATGATAAAACACAGCCCTTTCAGCAAACTCCAGATAAGCAGCTGGAAATTGTTTGTATTGTCACCATTGTTTTTGAGAGGGATGTGATCTTTGGACTGATAAATTCTTAGCTAATTGTGTGAAAAGATCTATAATGAATATTCAGCTAATTTAACTCTTTTTTTTTTTCTGTCATTCTTTAAGGCTCCCTGTAATCCAGTGTTTCTTCTAGCTCTTTCACTTATTTTCTAGGTTTATTCTACTCAGAGAGTTATAAATTCTTAGAAAAATCCAATTTTGCTGGCTTATTTGAATGAGGAACACCTAAATTTGATCTGAAATTGTCCAATAGGAGTTTTTATATCTGTAATCTTTTCTTTCTAAAGCTTGTTTAGAGATAGAGACAAGAGCTACTTTTTTTTTTTTTTTTTTAAATTTTTTAGACAGCAACTTGAGGAACCACGAAGAAAGCCACTTACCAGCCTACTCCTATATCTTTATTTCTTACAAGGCCCCTGCTAGTTAGTCTGGAATATGTAGCATCTTCGCATTTCTTTACGTTTCCATCCCCTCTACAAGCTTATTATTTAAAATTGCATTGAAGTATGTACTACTTCTCTTAGCTTAAACTACAGAAAGACAGTCATTAAGCAAAGTCAGAATGTATTTTATGTTAGTGAACACAATCTGCCTATACATTTAAATCTTTGTAAGTTCAGACTTGTTCAAGAGCCCTGAGGTTTTCTATTGTTATCTAAATAAGCTGACAATATCTACTGTTTAATCTTCGTAGAAATCATACCTTGCTACTCAGGCCCTTTTCTCCTGACAACTCTGTTAGACCGACAAAGAGAGGAAGTACAGAGTTCGCAACAAGTTCGTAACTCATTACTTTGCTCCAAGACACTTGCACATTTTTTGAGTCACACCTGTGTTTATAATTAGAAAACATTGCTGTCTCCTGCAGACTGTTGGGATCCTGCAAGTCAGTACCAGGTTTTGCTGCGTAATCAGTCTCAGTTTCCCTGACATTCTCAGTTTGCTTCTTTTTTTAAGTTTTTTTAAATTATTGCTATTAAATGAGGGGATAATAAAAGCAGCGCCTTTTTTTTGTAACACTATTACTCTCACTTTTTTCATCTGGCTTCTCTTTCTAGAGTAAGGTCACTTTTTCCTGCAAGAGTTTCTGTCATATAAAATGGTTTAGGTTGGAAAAGACCTTTAAAATCATCAAGTCCAACCGTTAACCTAACCCTGCCACCTAACCCACCACTAAACCATGTCCCTAAGCACCTCATCTGCCTGTCTTTTAAATACCTCCAGGGATGGGGACTCGACCACTTCCCTGGGCAGCCTGTTCCAATGCTTGATAACCTTTTCAGTGAAAAATTTTTTCCTAATGTCTAACCTAAACCTGCCCTGGCACAACTTCAGATCATTTCCCCTCGTCCTGTTGCCCATTACCAGGGATATGGATGAAGGTGGCAGTAAATTCATACTGAGAAGGACAGTTGCACCTGAAATCTGCTTTAGTGAGAATATAGTTGCTTTTATAGTACGCAGAGGTCAATATTTCCAGCAAATACTCAATTCCCTTTAAATTCCTGCATGCAGATAGATTGCAGACCAATGGACAGGAACAACTTCAATCTTTGGATACCAAATGGCATCTTCAGCAAAGAAGTGGAGGAAAAAAAATTTGCCAACTGTTCTTGGGTTTCCCACACTTAATGTGTCTCAGTTCATGCACAGAGTAGCCTGTGACCATGACCCCAAAGGAGGAGGGGATTAATTGCCTCTTTGTTAATGGTCAAGGATGAAACTTTACTTCAAATGCCAAAGCCCAGGGCAGTGAGACTGTAATTTGTCAGCAGAAATATATTCTCCCACAAATTGTGCTGTATGTAGTACAGGTGGTTTTCACCTCAAAGGTTAACACACAATAAAAAGCGCTGCAATTCAGCATGCAATGATATGCCCCTGCTGCAGCCCTCTGATTTTGAACCTGAGATTAAGGACTATATCCAGAGTATTGGCAGCTATTCATGCTGAACAACAATATTTTTAGAAAGCCCCTTGTGGTCCAAGAGTGTCTCAGGAATCATGTCACCCGTGTGGGTGTTAAAACCATTGAGCGACCGTTGTCACTATTATTGCCTCCAATATCAGCCCAGTAAGGACCACCGTCACCTTATGCAAAGAACAGTAAGTGTAACATGATGACCTCCAAACAAAAACTAGTCCCAAAAGAGCTTTACCCCAAACCTCATGTACGAGGTGGAAACCTTAACACACTTCAAATAGGGGCTGTCAGCCAGAAGAGTTCCAGTACTTCAGATCTGGTTTACACAGAGCCACCTCCTATCAGCCCTCTCTTAAATCATGTTGCACCAACAGAAGTTACCTTAAAAGCAGACAGATTGGTTTCTTTCATATACTGAGTCAATACCTTCACTTTTATCAGTGCATGATTGGTCAGTGTTTTATTCATTGCTGTATTCAACACCACAAGTAAGATAATAAATTTGCATTGGGAGAGAATTAAAATGTAATGGTAGGTTCATCAGTTCCATCTATGTTTGTGATCTAAATAATAAAAGAACCTCTTTCTTTCAAAATCCCTTTTGTTACTCCTGTGAGATTCATTTTAGATTAATCTTTTTTTTTCTCTTTTATTTCCAAAGGACATCCATTACCTTGCACTAGATAAGGGTGAATTGGCACTAGCTGAAGTGGCAAAGAAAAAGGCTAATGACATTGATGCAGAATCAATAACTACAAGAATTGGTAAGAATTAATGGCGTTTAAAAAGACCTTTTTGTTTTAATCAATACTTGTCCTGTACAACACCATGTTATATTTGTAGGGGAGTTACTGTTTCAATTGCATTGTTTTCTTTGAAAGTGATACAGTGTTTTTATTCATAACTAAAGAGGGAGGCTTATAAAAAAAACACAGCTTTGCCTGTCAGTACCCACGTGAGGATTGTGTCAATGCAATAGCTAGGAAGCAAAAAAGATTTATACTATGGCTGTATAGAAAAGTTCAGGCTGTACAAACTGAACTGAGTGGAAGAGGTAAGGGACTGAATCTGAAAATCTTTATTCATACCAGCGTTAAATGCCAGGTATGGTAATCTCATTCACCTCTAAATATTTGCTCATGCACACTGTGCCAATATCTGGAGTCACATCATGAATGTTTTGGCAGCATTGAGATGAAACATTTACTGATGTGAACACAGGCTCATATCCTGGCTTTAAAGTAACAGCTTTGCATGCAGTGGGATTCTTGCAGTTCCATAAGGAATATCGACGCGACAATTGCAGGGTTAGACTAATAGCTCAAACACAAACAACTTTTCAGGCAGAGGAACTCATAACTCATTCACTTGCTCCTTGTCTTTCCTCTGAATTGTCATAAAGAGATGTATGTAAATATGTAGACCGTTCTGATTTTGGGCCTATAGCACGAACCAAGCAGAAGGGGGTCTAAGTCTCGGTAGCTGACCTGCAGCAGAGAGAAAGTTGACAAAGGGAAAAAAAAGAAACCAAAATGTTTGTATGAAATACTCACAGTACTGCTTTGCTTATTATACTTCATCTTTGAATATTAGAGGAAATCATTGAGCTTTCGTCTTTGTCCCATGCCAAGAAGTACAATATGATTAAGACTCAGAAGGAGTCACAAAACCTTTGAGATCTTGCGTAACATAGGATTCTTTTAGAACTGTACATCTTGGTGTTTACTCAGAGCATACAACCAAATGCCATTCAAATATATAGAAATGCAGAGAGTCTGTATGTGCATTTATGTGGCTATTTCTATATATTGTATAAATTCATGACTCTTGGGCTATGCAATACAGTATCACCTCCTTCCCTGTGCAGCAGAGTAGAAATCAAGCAGTGCCTATCCTGAACTCTTATTTTGGATCTTTTATTTTCAAGCTTCAAGCATTTTTTGCACAACAGCTGAGCCTTTAGGTAAGCCCCTTTACCACTAGAATTGCCAAAACCAACATTTGTATTGGTCATCTGTTACTGGGCACTCTTTAAAGTGCACAGTTACATCTCCCTTGCTTTCTCTTCTCTTACTTAGGTAGTTGTTCTCTGCATCTAATACAACTAAGATACCTAAGACTTATCTCTGATCACTACCTATTCTCTCACACTTAATTCCAGAAAATTTAAGCCTTAATCTGTGCCCTCATTTAATTCCTTGCAAACTAACGCTGTTACTAGATTTCTGAAGTTTGGCTATTTTTAAGTTTACTGAGAGCCTTATATAGTATTATGGACACATACACGAAGAGAGAGGTAGGGAAGAAACCTGAGGTGATCACAAATGTCTTACTTGCGTATCAGATGTAATACACATGTTACTACAGTTCAGTTACAAACGTGCAGGCACAGAGCCTTCCCCTCCTTCAGAGAAGTTCTACAGCTACCTCTGTAATGCCCCATAAACATAAATTATTAAAGTCATTTTATATGATAAAGTCTTTAAAGTGTTCTCGTTTGCTGAATAATTAACTATCAGAATTATTTAAAATACTCTTCAGTGCCCCTGGGACAAACTGTCACTGAGATGCAGTCTATAAACAGTAATGAATTTGCATCCAGTTCATTTTATATGAAAATAAACAGGAATCTCCCATGAGTTCGTTTCACTGCAGATTGCATCTCATCTTAAACATGTGAAATCTCAGCCACGTGTTTTGTTTTATTATACTTTATGCCAACGTACTTTCTTAATGATGTTTTTATATCATAAACTGTTGTTAGCAAAAAAGGTGTCATGAGGCATGAACTTTGTGGACCCAGTGAAAACAAAAGATAACAAGTGCTTTATATGCAAATTACTACCTTTATCTAACTTTTTGGGAGGGGGAGAAAAACTTGTGCCAGAGCCAGAAGCTTAAAAATGCAGCTTCAAAGAAGTCTCTGTCCCCTAACCATCTCCTAAGCCCAGTCCTCTTCATCTAGTCCCTGCTCTCTGGGGCTTTCAGCCACTCAGTTCACCAGTGGTCACACTTCCCAGATCAGCCCCCAGACTTCTTGAGCACACACTTCGGGCTCCTACAAGAAGGCAGCAACCTAAGGAAACAGAGGCAACAAGGTGCAACCAGTGCTATTGATCCCAAGTTATACTGAACACCTCCCTAGATAATATCTGCCCTCTCTACAGCATATTTCATATATACGTTACAGTATATTTGGTCCTAAATGGTACAAATGTGAACCGTTCTCATATGTCAACATCTGATGATATTTCCTGAGCTAGCCCATGCCAAAAACTCAGCTCAACAGTTCTTGAAAATAACATGAGTCAGTGGTCCTGGCTGATTCCCAAGCCCTTGAGAGTGCTCCATCTTGCCCCACATATATTTAATTTGTCAAGATACTTCTGTGTACAGGGCTCACTTCAAACATAATATATTTCAAACTCAGACTTCTGGAAAAGTTTCAAGCTCCTACAGATAATGTAGAACGACAATATAATTTCAGCTTAAATTCATAGATGTCATCCAGAGTTCTATAATCATTGGTAGATTCCTCATGTATATTAGATCAAGATTTGTGTCCAGATAAAACTAGAAAAAGATTATTTTAAAATTTTCTGAACTTTAGCTCTTCTCAGGTTCTCACATGATCATGGTTTGCTATACACTGTTTTGAAGAAGTTGCCATAGAAGCTAAGAATGTCTAGGTGCCTGTGGTAAAAACACCTGTAGAACTCCAGAGCACGGTAGTTTCATGACAATATTGCTGAGCAAGATGAAGCATCAAGTGAGCTTGCTGCTATTACCTGCTATGGTTTTGGCAGAATCAGATATTTTGTTCAGCTGATTAAAATCTTCTAAAGAAAATTATTCCCATAAGATTTTATGTTTGACAGCCTGTGAAAATGCATCTTGAGGCATGAGAAGATTGAAGTAATGGTACCATACATCTCAGAGACTGCATTAGCTGTCTCCTCTTTCCCCACTCCCATTTGATCAGCAGACCAGTGGCCATAGATATTGTGGTTTCCTCTGCCAGAGATTTCCTGTTGAATTATTTTGGTAGTAGGTCTACAGGTTCCTTAACAAGGTCAGGGAGTTCTCATTTAGCCTTACCTAAAATATATCCTGTGCATCTCATTTCACTTGATTAAAACAGAAAGGACTTTCTTCAATACTGACAATATTTGTAGGCTTACTAATAAATTTTGGTTATGGGTGTAGCCTCACAGATATGCTCCTGGAACACAAGTAACCAGGTACAATATTGTCTGTGGTAGAAGAGTGCATCTGTTCAGTGCTGTAAACTGTAGGATGTTAATGTAAAATGTGAGTTGCAAAGAACTGACATGGCACAGCCTGCTAAGAAATGCCATAACTAATAATGATCACGGAGGTGAAGAGCTCAGCCTTTCAGACATCATTGCTCAATGAATATCCAACGAAGAGCATATGTAGTCAGTGTCAGAAAGTTTCCCAAGGCCAACTTCCAACAAATTACATTAGGGCCTAGCAAGATGATTTTAACCTTCAAATCAATAGCTTTCACCCAAAAGGGATTCGTGTAGTGACAAGACAGATAACTGCTGCATAGTTGGAAGGCAAATTGGGAAACCTTGTGTTTCTACTTAGAATTAACTTCAGAATATTAGTTACACTGATGTTTAGTGTACATTTCTAACAGAGTTATCTTAATAAAAGCACTGGTGTTGAGATAATGGCATTGTTCTGAAATGCTGGATGGGAGTGACTAACATCTTGGTGGTTCAGCAATGTCTCATGAAAGCGCTTGATGTTTTTCCACTTAAAATAGAATTTTAAAACTTTTCTAGAAATATTGCATAATGTTTGCAAGTGAGATAGGAAATCTTATCAGTTCTCAGAGAGACTGAGGTCTCGTCTCCCACACTGTTCATAAAATGACATTCAGAATGTATGGTCCCTAAATGTTTCACCTTACCGGCAAGGAACGTCACCAGTTTGAACCTTAAGTGGAGAATTTATTCACTTCTTTTTAGTTCTGTGATAGTATTTTATATTGAATGGCTTACATGTTCTTTGTGATAATTAATAATGACACATGCTATAGTGTTTTGTCTTCCATACAGTGTGTCTGAGATACCAGTCTGGTCTTGCATACAGTCCGCTACCTCCAAATCACTTGTAATTTACTCAGATCTTCCCCAATTCCAGACAGTCCTGGCGAGCCTGCTCACATTTCAGGACCATGTTTAGAACTGTCCCCCTGTTTTTGTAACCTTCTCTGGCTCTCCATTAGCCTAGTTGATAAGATTTGTTCCTCTTCTGATCCATAATGACTCCTTTCATCTGTCAAGCAATAGACTTCTTCCTTACCCTCACGTACCCTCTCTAACACTGATGACAAAGCCTTCTTCATTGCCTACTCCTCCTTGGCACATGCATCTTTCTCTTGCTATCAAGCTTCAAGTTAACTGAGAGTCCTAGCCTTTTATTTCAAGGCATGATTTTTATTTTACTGTGTAACACGTTTATGGCATGCTTAAAAGCTATTATCCAATACACAGATGAACTGTGATCTGGAAAGACTTGGGGCACACCTGTTCATTTTTTTGGAGCTCTGCTCCTTTCTGCGTAAGCGTTAGATCTCCTATTTATTTATTTAGATTTTCAGTTTAAGTCAATCAAAACCTCTGGAATCAAACCCTTTGCTTTTATTTTTCTAATAATGTGGCTTTTTCCTCAGAGAGTCAGAAAAACATTTTTAATGAAAAATGGTTTTTAAGTATGATTGGCAGTTGAC